ATTATATTACAATAATTTATGAGCWGTAACTAAAAGCAAACAATTTTTATTTCCATTATTAATCTCATAAAACATTTCTTAAATGTTCAATAAATAAAAAAAAAACTTAATTTTTTTACTTATAAAAATTACAAGTACCTATCTTATATTTTTAATGTTGAATCAAATGACAAACATTATATTTATTCCTTATATATATATATATATATAGCCTTTCTCTATAGCCTAGCTTAGTTCTAGATAGATTTTTTGAGTTTCATCTTCACCAATCAAATTTTAATAGTTTCAAATAAAATATTTTTTTTTATGAAAATTAGACACTGTTATGGCTATCATACAATAGTGAAACACTTTATTACATTGTATATTTGTATRCTTGGCTTTTATGAATGAARGCAAWTTTTTTTCGGGAATATCAACATTTAAAAATRTTCATCGGTGCTCTAAAGAATGTACAAATAGTGAAGTTCACAACAGAAGTATTGAAGCAATATATTTTTTGACTTAAGAAAAATGTTTTTATGTTGTAGATGTAGAATATTCTAAAGTAATACGGCATGTGCACATTCGGTGAAATTGTAATTTGTAGACTTTCAGAACGTTGTTATATCGAACATTTAAAAACAATAATAAGTATAGTTTGTTAAACATTTTTTTGATACCAATAAGTTTTTAAAGACTATTTTTATTGTTRKGTCTTGGACAACTTATAATGTAAAAAATATTCAACATTATTTTGAATTCAGATTCATATTTTAGTTTTAGTGCTTTATAACAGATTTTTGAAAAACAAAATGATAAAATAGCGTTAAAATAAATTAAAAACTTTTCAACTGGTTGAGACTGTTGAGAGGTTGTATAWCAGTATAACCATTGATTATAAATAATACGATATACAGTGTATCACATTCTGAAATTGCTTCCGCGCAACTGTTGTTTTCGAATAGTCTATAATGCCATAGTGGGGGTCACGTATTTAACTAGCGGTTGTAACTGTTGTAAGCACATTTGATTATGCTTACGCGAGAAACAAGGAGCGACCGCCGAGGCGCCGACCAGTACGTACTACGTAGCGTCGTAGCCCGACGCGTTGTAGACTGTAGTCATTTTTACGCACATAGTCACTGTCATTCGCCTAATAGACTTTTGAAGTATTTATACTTCAAAGTTCAATTTCTTTATTTTCTCGAAGACTCGAATTTATAACATGGATTCATTAAAAATTTTAAAAAGATAACATTTTTTTATACATAATTTATAATTAGGTATTTAGGTATAGTACCTATATTCTAATCACTTTTGAAAAAAAATTTAACTGCTTACATCTTTTTAATACCCACGCCACGCCACTGGTGTATTATTATTTTTTTGTATAGTATAATAGTATATTATTATGATCTTAGGTGCTGGGTTTCGCAATCGTTCACCGATGAGGCGGAGCCAATTAATTTATAGATAATACTATCTTACTCATGGTGGTAGTAAACTAGTACCCGGCAGAAAATTGATATTATAGTATTATACTACTAATTACCATTAGGTACATTATTCTTTCATACTGTATTACTGTGACGATTTAAAATTGGTTTAAAATTACTTTTATTGATAAATACTAAATTATAACGTATGTAAATTAATCAACTAGAACTTAACCGCTATTCTGGTAATAAATTCAATTAACCTTAACGGTAAGATTATATTGTTATATAGTATTATTATGCTCGTTAAGGTGTACAATAAAATACCTGTATAATATGTTATGTAATAGGTATTTTTAATCAATGTGTGTCTTGAAAAACATTTATATCCGATCAAACATTTTAAATTTAAATTTTTTACATACTTATAGAGTATGGCTGACCCATCAATTCAAACATTTTGTTGTCGGAAAGCTCTTGATTATCATCCATCATACAAACTCATGAACGAATTTAACACAGACCGTTTTAATATGGTGTGTTTACTGTCTTCAATAATAGGTATTACTGGTGCTGTATACCAGGTAATTATTGTTTAAATTTATTTTTAATCATTGTTTAAATAGTTTTCAAATAAAAAGAAATATATTCAAATACCTAGATACATATTATATTACCTAATCATTGATACATTTTTATAGATATTGCCAAAAGTTGAGATAAAAGTTCCAAACAGATTTTATTCCAACATCATGCGGCGAGGAAAATATATTATAATGTGGTTAGCAATTGCAGATATATGTGCATCATTAGGTAATATAATTTTTAACTTTGGTTATTTTATTTTTATTTAATTAATTTTGTTAAAATATTCAATCTACAGATTTTTGTTTTCATTATTAGAATTTTTATTATTTACATATCATCTGAAAACAAATTATGAGACGTAATATATATTTATTTACTTTTGTTCTTCAAATGGAAATTTTTCAAACTGATTTTATTTTCATCATAATACCTTTTTATTTTAACGCTATTTGTCCCCATCAGTGAATTTGGTTATTTTCTTAGTCATATTGTATAAATATAGAATTAACATATTTTTTTACAATGTATTTTAATTTTTATAGTTCTATATTTATAAAATTAACAATCTATAAACAATTGTAACTTAAATGTCCGATGTACTGTTGATAAAATGTGCAACAAAATGTTAAGTACAGTTTGGTCATCAGTGGGGTGGTGAACGACATTTACCTAATGCAACTGCTTAGCCCTAGAACAAATATTGAAAATTTGTATACAGAAAATTATACCTTTATGAGGGTGGGGGTCATTGTATAAATAATTTGCTTAGGGTTTGAAAGATGTTCGCCACGCCACTGTTGGTCATAGACTTGTACTCGGAACTGAAAACCAGTACATTTTCAAATTTTAATCACCATTCTATACAGAAATAAATTCTTATGTGCATGATTATGATTATTTATCACAATGTGCAATCACTGTTTATTAAAATGAATAAAAATCAAATTGCCTATAATTGTTTATAACATTTTAAGAATTTTTCCAAATTGAAACTAACCTTTTTTACTAATTTTGATGGAAGTAAAGTCAACTCCATCCTATTCTATTTGGAGCACTGATTTACCTATACTGAATAACAGTTAAATTATTGATGCTATCCCGTTAGTTTTCTTTTTTTTCAACTCGAAGGTTTACAATTCCAATTCTCAATTCTAACCGATTACTCCCTTAAGTTCTCTAATGGTTTTGACTTTTGCATTCCATTTAATTTGTCCTATATAAGAGTTCCGGGGACGTCCTGCAGTTTTCTTTCCTTCTATCATGCCCTCTAATATATTATACAATTCAGTTAGTGTATTCTTGAAGAATTTAATATTGTACATATATTTTGATTTTAGGTATACTTTTAAGGTCTTGTTTAAAACTAATGCATCATTTTCAATGGTATGATGCACAACCATATACAGTTTCTTGTATATTTTTGGCAGTAAGTATTTATTTTTAAAGTTAATAATGTAATGATAGTTTTCATGTTTGTGAAAAGTTTAATATTATTATCTTATTCAAAAGGTTTGGATTCAGTATTTTTACATTGTAACTTGGTTTTGGACCTTATCATATGCTGTTGACATGTGGAGAGCATATCAAGATAAACACTCATGTAGAAAACTATATCATGTTGTTGCTTGGTCAATTCCTGCCATATTTACATTTATCGGACTTTCTACCCTTTATCGACCAAATGCAAAGTATAAATTGTTCAGAGGATGTCAGCATATTATTTGTTTTCTCTCCAGCCCATAAGTAGATATTTGATTGGAGGTGTGGTTGTAGGGGTTCTAGTAGGATCATAAAATTGATTTGATTTAAAATTTCAAAACCTATCAAGTAATATAAATATTATTTCATTTATGTTTGATAATATGCCAATTACTTAATTAACAACACAAAATTAGATTTGCTGAACATAATTTATTTTGAATTATTCTGAAATGAATGGTATCCTGACATGCTCTTATTTTTTTTTATGTTTGTGTAACTTGATATAATTCTAAATGTAATCAAATTTTCTTTTAATTATTTTAGCTGTCACAATTTGAGCCTCAAAGAAAATATTGTTATGAAGTTCCTTCCAAATTATTTTTTTACATTTTTGCCTGTCATCATTGTTATGGTAGTCAATCCAGTACTTTATTCTTTATCTACTGGATACATATATCACATAATAACTTCATACATGGCTCAATACTCTACAAATGAACGGAAAATGTTGGATTTATTTAAACAGAGATTTGCATTAATTAATCTAGCATTTTACTTGTGTTGGGCACCCAATTTAATCAATGCAATAATAGTCTGGACATCTTGGAATAATCTACCAAATGGAGTGATGCTTACTCTTTGGTATCTAATGGTATCTACATACATGTTTATTATAAAAAAAAAAAACAATAGTTATGAAACTCATAATGCTTTTAGTATGAATATCTATTCTAAAATTATAGATTATAAATTTATAAATGTTCATACTTAACATAAATGTAATTTCAGGCTATTTTGAATCCTATGCAAGCATTTTTCAACAGTTTCCTCTATAACTTACTTGAACATACAGAGCAAATCTGTTGTTTTCCTACCAGAAGTCGAGTTCAAGAAATGGTAGAATGTAGACCTTTATTAATAGCCAATGTAAAAGGTTCAGCAAATTCAAATGGCTATGAAATAATCGAATAATTTAAAATAACTATTAATAACTAAACCCAAACAAATATTAATTAACTAAATGTTCAGGATAAATTTTTGTATTTATAAATAATTTAATGAATTGTTAATTCTAGATTTTTTATCCATGAATTTATAATTTTAGTATGTATTGTTTTTTATTTTACCATAAAGGTATATCAATAATTTATACCTATGAACAAAATATTTTTTTGTTTCATATTTTCATTGAATTAATTTTTAGTATGTATGTAATAAATATATTTTTTAACAATTGCATTTACTATTGTATTAGTACACTTCAGACTGAGAATAAATATATTAGTGTTATTTTTTTTAAATATATATAGTACCTCATTATTATATTTCATATATTATAAAATAATAAATTTAAAATATATTAATTGTTATATCCATATTTTATTTTATTTCTTGTTTGTATGACTTATTTGAATAGGTATGTATATTTTATATAATTAAATTGAAAAAAAAATTATTATAGCTTTAAATATTTAACTAAATCAAACTAATATTTGTACATTTATAAAAATTCATATGTAACGTTAAAAAAAAAAAGTCAATTTGTATTTCACATTCATAAATTAGTAATTACACACATTAAATAAAGTACAATTTGCTGTAAATTACTAGCAACTCTATATTTATTGATACCTACTTGACATGAATCCTAATTTGTTTTCTTCGATCAAATATTTAAATCCAATGCAAAATTCACATAACTCATATTATAAATTATATTACCATATAATACATTCTAATTTCATTATACAGACGTACAGTGGTGTAAATTGTAATCTAAAATTATTGTAGGTAGACAGACCACAGGTAGAATATAATTAATATAAATACTATTTATAATCATTAGCATAAAATATTTACAGTTGTTAGTTCAATTATGTTCCTATTGTTCCTATGTATCCATAGTATCTTTAAATCACGGTTATTGATGCCATAGTGTCTATATTTGAGATTTATCGATTAGGCTTGACGTTTTTATACTAGTGGATAAGCACTTCTCTACATCGTGGGGATAAGGTATATCGTATATGGATTCTGCTATTTCATGTAGTCTAAAACCGACCTATAGATATTACTCACAAGCATATGAAAATTGGTGAATACATTTTTTTAACGCTTATTAGTGTAATTAACACTAATTAACAATTAACCTTACAAAGTTACAAATATATCCTTAGAGTTTAGTAATATATTAAGTACTTACTACGTATGTCTTAATATGTAGAAAATGTTCAGTTTTTCTATATGAGAATTCTTCTTTCTTCTTCTTTACTAAAGGCCATGCCTTGTCGTTGCAAATSTGGTACGCCATTCTTCTCTATTAGAAGTCTTATGGTTGTCCTTCATTGCTTAATGTTTGGGAAAATTAATACAGTGGTTTCCCGTTGCCTTCTGTATCGCAATGACATCACTTATAACTAAGTGATGCTATTCAAGTAAAGATGGATCTCTACTTGATACTAACAATGTTGCTGCCCATTGTTAGATCCATTTTGGTCGCCTTTTACGACGGGCATGGACTGCCGTGGGTGTATTCTGATCCCCCCCCCCACAGGGATATATGAGAATTGAAAATTTAAAATGATACGTTCCTTATATTTTAACGATAATGTAAATATAATATTTAGTAAGTGTATAAAATAGAAATAGTACAAATAATAAAATCATTATCAAACGGTGGTTGAGGACTTGAGAGGATTCGATGTCGTGATTTTCGGTAATTGTTTAACACGTCATGCATTCATGTGACATGTGTATGACATAAGGTTTTAGCCGTGTTCATAGGCAAACATTATTGATTGGTATAGTGAAGCGATATGAGAGTTAAATTTATCGCCAAGTCTTAACTTCCCCAAAAATTGAAAAATTACATTTTTTTTTTATAATGTCAAAAATGAGAAAAATTCAAGCGATATGTGTTTTTTATAAATTGTTTTTTTGTGTGTCGGTTAAACGATGAGTAGTCAAAATAATGCCTCGATTTTCAACTTACAGTTTTCCGATGGAAAAGTGAATGAAAGTCACTAACCAATTTGGGAGATTAAAAAGCTCCAAGAAAACAAAGCAAAAGATAATTTGAAAAACGCGATTTTTGAGTAGGAGAGGGCSACTATTTTTTTTTATAATTTAAATTTGTATTTTGTATAATGATTAATGAGGCGTATTTTATTTTTGCTGCCCCTTGGTGTCAAATTCCTAAATATGGTCCTGATTACGTTATTGTAAGTTTTAGTAAGTTTAAATACGGCGTTATTGAGATTTTAGTAAATTTGTGGTTTTTATTATGAACGCTACATTAGGATATCTATATCGACATATTWTACACGATGAAAAAATGTGTGTACAATTATTGCAAGACCGATAATCATAACCAACAYTAAATGAAAATAATAATCGTTGTACCAAAGTGAGAAACAACGAAGAATGTGTTGAAATATTAAAGGAATGTAAGAGAACGAGTAAAAAACGAAACTCAGATGGTACCTACCTTTAAAAAATACATTTATTTTAAGCGTTCAAACAGTGGTTGCCAAACTTATTGTTCAATTCGAAAACAAAATCAATATTTTTCTTAGATTTAAATCTGGATTTAAATAATAGATGTCACAGTAATTTATCATTAACCGAGATTATGGAATTAGTATGGCATTGAACACATTTGGTACCAGTTCATCAAGTTGTACAATTTACTGGCCAAAGAATACAGTTGTCGATTGCTTTAATTTATGTCGCGATGTGGCTATTTATAAATTTAACAAGCGATCAAAATTAGGTGGAAAAGATGAGATAGTCATAGTTCAAATCGATGAATCATTATTCAAAGGAAAACTTAAATACAACCGTGGTCGTCTTCGATGTGGTGATATAATTAGACCAAATAAAAATGATAGTGACGATAGTGATGATACAGAAGAAGATAATAATAGTACTTAATAATAGTACTTAATAATATACAGTGGATGCAAAAAATTATGGAACGCGTGTATCTGGCCCCTCGCCCCTGGGTTTATGGACTTCGTTGGAAAAAAAAAATATTTTGGAACGACGTTTATTCATCGTAGAAAAACGTGACAAAGCAACATTACTTCCTATAATTAAAAATTAAGTAGGACTAGGAAGTATAATCCATAGTGATGAATGAAGAGCTTATTCGTCATTAAGCAATGAAGGGTAGGTACATACACAGTACACAGACACACAGTACTGTGATAAGTGTGATGAATCATCAAAAATGGTTTATTGATCCTGATACAAATGCCAATACTCAATCCATATAATGTTTGTGGAGAATAGTGAAAAAGCGATGTGAAATAAGAGTAAATGGCGCATCTCCATTATTAGCAAGACAACTTAAATAGGGTGGTGGAGATTGGTGATCACTTCACGGCTTCACCCTAACAAGCAAACTATATTTGACGAATTTTCATCAGACATTAAAGATGGTTTTATGACATAAATTACGATGAATTCTTATCAGACAAGAAGGATAATTAATTATAAATCAATTAATAACTATATTATAATAACTATAAAAAATGCAGCATAGGTCAATAATACCTCTATGTTTAGGGCACACACTGGACCGAAAATGTATGTGTAGGTCACACATTATTGCTGGACCGGTGTCATTTCATATTTTAATGTTTTGATAAAAAAGTTAAAATATATATTTTATATTTAATTATTTCCAAAAAAATATATTTTGTAGAATTTTTTTTTTTAATATTRACGTTTCAAAATTTTATTTTCATAAATTTTCTGATTTAAAGTTTTGTTTTAGTTTCGAGAAAAATTGTGAATTATTTATCAGCGCAGACGCGCAGTGTTTTAAAACATGTCACCCACCGTCCCATAGCCGTACTTGTATGGCCGATCAACGTTTTCAGTGTGTCTATATTTATTACAATCATATATTTATTTCTTCAAAACTAAAAAAATATATTAAAAATCAGCAATTTAATGAAAATAAAGTTTTGAAATTTCAATATTTTCAGGAAAATAAACTAACAAAATGGCCATCTTTAATTTTTTTGGAAATAATTAAATAAAATATATATTTTTTCACCAAAACATTAAAATAAATTAAATATGAAATAATTGTATCGTAGTTCTTACTTCTTATCCCTGTGAGACTTATTACAAAACCAGAATTTTAATATCTCCATTATTTCGTGAGATAATGGCGATATTGCAATGGGTAAATCCTCGCGGGACGCCCTGAATAATTATAAAATCCATACTAGGTATATATAAGTGGTATAACCATATTATTTTCGTATATACTTATCACTTACTGACATTTGAATTTTTTTTTATTACGTAGGTAATATCATACGTATTTTTTTTCCTTTAAGGTCTCGTGTACCTACCTACGAACTCACATTCGTCCAATCAATGCTACATTGGTGGAGTCGATA